AAAGGTCAGCGTTTCAAATCCCTAGTGCTGTGTAACGAAGTGAGCTCTCGTTACTTGTCCCAGCTTCTGCCAACCTAGTAGTTCGAAAGCATGTAAAAATGCAAGTAGAAAAATAGGAACCATCTTTGGTGGGAAGGTAACAGCGTTCCGTGAGCCGGTGTTGAGTCATGCTGGCCACATGACCACGGAGACGTCTTCGGATAGCGCTGGCTCTTCGGCTTTGAAACGGAGATGAGCACTGCCCCCTAGAGTCGGGTATGACTAGCACCTATGTGTGAGGGTAACCTTTACCTTTATGAAGACCTTGACGTTTTCAGGTTGATAGGCAACCTATTTAAATTGTGAAGCAAGAATTGCCATTTGCCTGGGATCCTGAGAAGGTCATGATCCTGAACCTTTAAAAACAGAATCACTCATGGTGGACTGGCAAAGCAGTGATTCGTTGCTCAGTGACAAAGATAAGTTATTTCCTAACCAGTCAAACAGACTGTACTCTGATCTTTGATCTAGGTAATACTTTTGGCCTCCTTTCCAAAGAATTCTGGGAATCAAGTCCCTGCACACTGGTTTGGAGAAAGCATCTGATTGAGGAAGGTTATGAAACATTAATTTCTTTGCTTGGTGGTTATGACCCACCCAGAGTCAACAAGAGTTGGGCAGCATGCAAGTTTAATTATTATCCTCTTCCCCTTTGTCGGGAATATAAAAATTAATTATTCTTAGGTGTCAGCCTTTTATTTCACTTCGGTATGCAATTCACCTGATTTGCACACACAGAGATATCTAAAGCTCTTGCTTGCTAATAATTTTCTTCAGCTTTTGTTAATGGGTTTTTAAAATTCCTTTAGTTTTCTCTTCCAGATTATTGTATCGCTGTTCCTAACAGTTCTCTGAAAATCTTCCTTTTAATTGGGTTAACTTCATGGGGAAATATTCTTTCTCTCTAAAGAGTAAAAGTGGAGGAAAAAAAACAGGCTGGGTTTAATCCTTCCTGAATTCCTCTTGGCTGCAAGTTTTTTTGTTTTGCAGAAGTTTTGTTTACTTAAAGCAATTTTAACCTCTTTAACCATGAAGGTTGCCTGCAAACTCTCAAAGATTCTTGCAAAGAGAGTGCGTGGCTCCAGACTTACACTGTAATAGGTGACAGAAGGAAAAGGCAATCTGATTTACAGTTGGTATAATGGTTATCTAGAAATAGTTCATTTAGCGCCTGCTGAATGACCCTGCTGGGAGGAAAAACAGAGACCGAGAATCTCAGCCAAATTTTGCTTCCAATTCCTTTTTGTCTTCTGCATTATTGGAACGGTCCTGTTAGTTAGACTATAGGGGTCGTCTTTCCATTGAAAACCGAATTGGTAACTATCTATTATTAGGCTTGAAATCTGGAGTGAAATTTAAACTAAATTAAGTGTGGTCGCCAAGCAACAGCAAGAATTGGGTCGGCAAAGCAATAATCTTGCTCCTTTTCTAAGAACACATTCCTTAAACTTTTCAAGATTCGGATAAGCTTACATATTAGTGTAACCGAAAAACCACCAGAGCAGAAAATGAACCATTGTCAACAGGATGACAAGGAAGGCAAATGGGGGTGGGGACTGGATTAATGTATCCAAATCCACAGGAAAAGTCCCACTCCATTATTATCCTTTGCTAAATTGTAGCACTTTAAAAAAAACTCTTTACCATTGTATCCCATAATAGCAGTATGTTTACAGAGATGGGCAACATTGTCTAACGTATGTAAGTTTTGCAATAGGAAGTGAATATTTCTGTGCATTTGCTTCAGTTGCATGTCCTGGACATAATGAGGTTGTCCGAATTAGTCTGCTCTTCTTTCTCCTAACAGTCCCCTCTACCCTGAAAATGCTGAATGGGTATTGGGGTCTCCTGATTTAGAGGAATCCCCCCCAGCCCCCTCTCATGTCCTTAGATCACAATCCACCCCTTTAACACGACCCTACAATCCTCACTGTCTCTGAAATTAGGCAAGATTAGATGTATGAAAAGAAATGGGTGGGCAACTTTGCAACCTCAGTGTCTATAATGCTGGAGACTACTCCTTGTTTTAAGCAACATTTCTTTTGGGACCAACAATTTCTACCTATCATAGTGCTGAGAAGGAAGCAATAGGAACATAAAGAGAAAGAACTCAATATGGGCAAAGATTTAGAGGAGAAACGGGCGCTCGGCAATTTTTGTGGTCGTCCGCATCAAAGGAATGTTTGAAATGTTGTAATGTTGAAACTTAACCAAAAGTCGGTTGGAAGACGAAGTGGAGATGCTGCTAAATCGTTTTGCTTTGCCGATGTTGAGTTTATTTTTATCACTTTTTTTCCCCTCCAGTTCAGCCTATGATAATTTGAACAGAGTCCGGGTGGCGATAAAGAAAATCAGCCCTTTTGAACACCAGACTTACTGTCAGAGAACCCTGAGAGAGATCAAAATCCTGTTGCGTTTCAAGCATGAAAATATTATTGGGATCAATGACATCATTAGGGCTCCAACTATTGATCAAATGAAAGACGTGTATCCTTTAAAGACCCTACATTCTCCTGTTCTCATTATCATCCTCTTTTCCTCTTTTCCTCTTTGTGTTAAAGTAAAATGATTTATTCTTGTTGTTATATGCCTTTGTTGTACTCATCTTACAACAGTTCACTTAT